CACACACACACACACACACACACACACACACACACACACACACACACTCATACAGTGCCTTTCCTAGATGTTAAAGGAAGGGGATGATGCCTCCAGAGGCTTCCTACATAGCCCATCCCCACTCTCCAGCCCTTGCTGTCCTTTTCTGGTCCCCACAAGTTGGTTACTCTCCCCTTCACTGCCCTGTATGTCTTCTAGCAGACACCATTTCTTCTCCTGGGGTGGGGTGGGGAACTTTAAATGGGAGGAGGAAGGGAAAGGGGCAAGGTCCCCGTACTGGGGATGTTATATTTAAATTCTTGTCCTGGGAGCTGTTTCAGAGGAGGTGGTCAGTCAGTTCCCAGCCTTTCTGGGGGGTTTCTGAGGCCAGCAGGCTGTGTGCTGCAGCAGTGAGAGGCGTGTATCCCAGATTGCAGCCGAGAGCCAGTTCTGACAATGGCCCCTGTGCCCGGTGAATGGTCAGGAATGTCCAGCTCTCCTTTCATAAGTCCTCATTTGCATAAACCTTTGGAGAATCCCTCCATGCCCAGGCTTCCCCATGGTCCTCATGCCTTCTTTTTTCTCTTTTTTGTAGATTTCTTTCTGATGCTGTCACAGGCATCTCTATCGTCACGGTGCTGTTCTTCTTCCCATCCCAGAAGCCAGCTCTCAAATGGTGGTTTGACTTGAAAGGTGAGCCATTCAAGACTCGGGCCTCAATGGGGATTGACTGACAGTTACATTTACGACAACTTTCATTCATACACGGCCCGCTTCTCCCCCCTTTAAGGCTTATGTGAAGTGTTTTCCTCACAGCAGCCCTGAGACTGTAGGTCAAGCATTATTATACCCATTTTAAAGATGAAGAAACTGAGGCCCAGAGTAATTAGGTTGATTGGCCCATGATCACATAGATTGACAGTGTCCAGTCAGTGCTTAAATCCAGATCTTTTAAGTTAAATTCTTCAGAGGTCCAGGGCTCTTTCCATGTGCTAGACTGTTTCCCCTGGCCAGTCATAGATCTAGAGTGTTGGAGGAACTTTAGAGGCTATCTATTTCAACTACTTCATTTTACAGATGAAGAAACTGAGGCCCACGACAAGGGGAAGAAACTTGCCAAGTATCACACAGGCAGTAAATAGCAGAGCAGGGATTTAAACCCAGACCCTTAAGACTCTGAAACACAGTGTTCTTTCTACCACACCAGTGCAGCCTTTCTAGGAGCTCAGATTGCCTCTACAGATAAAACACCTGTAGGGATAAAACATCTAAACTAACCATAGCACTTGTGCTACCCTAGCAGGCGTGTGGTGAGGGAGGCAGGAGTGATCAGAAGACACCTTAGAACAGAGCATGGGCAGAATGGAACTTCACAGAGTAGAACGTCAGAGCTGTGAGACCTTCAGGCCATAGCATAAAAATATTCATCCCCATCTGTCGCAACAAGACCAAAGAGAGTGACTGAGCTGGTACTGATGCGCAAATGGCAAGACCAAAGGGCCATGTAGTGCAACAGGACATGCTGGTCAGATCAGGTCAGGTCAGGTCAGGTCAGGTCAAAAACCCAGGAAGGTAGACAAAGGTTTAGGAGAAAGCAGGAAGTTGACAAATCCAGGGTCCAAAAGGGCAGTTACTCAGAAACAGGGGAGCCTGCCAAAGTGTATGAGACTGAGATTCCTCTGAGGTCCAGCCTGGGGAACCCATGCTTATCCCTTCCTTACTTCTAGGGTCTGAGACTTGCCCAGGATCACGTAACTAGTTAGCTACGCCATTCAAATGCACAAATGATGTTGTTTCAGGACCATATCTCCTACTTGTGGGATGTGGTCAGTTTTGGTGTTTTGAAGGTCACAAATAGAAAGAACTCAGGACTTGCATCCAGGAGACTTAGGTTTGAATGTCACCTTTAGTGCTTCCTAATTGGGACTGTGAGCAAGTCACCTCCCTCTCTGAGTCTCAGCTTCCTCATCTGTGAAATGGAGCTAATAATCCATCAATTATTTACCTCATAGGGTTGTAGGGAAATGAACATTGTATTATTATCATAGAATCTCCAAGTTGGAAATGACTCCAGAGGTTTCTAGCCTAATCTATATTTGACAAGAGTCCCCTCTACAATATTCCAAGTGGTCAACCAGTGTACTTGAAGGCCTCCAGTGATGCAAATCCCACCACCTCCCAAGACACCCTCAAATTCCACTTTAGGACATGTGGAGTAAGCTCCGATTATGTGCCATTATGTGCTTAGCCTTGCTAAGCACAGGGCATATGAAGAAAGGCAAAAAAACACTCTCCCTGACCTCAAGGGAGGTCATTTGCTTTAGAATGCAAACATATGTAAGTAACATGTAAAGATGTAATTGATATGCAAAACATGTCAATAAGTAGGTCCCAATCAAATTTATCCAGAGTAGATTGGGGGTGATTTTGAAGGGGGAAAGCACCAGCAGCAGAAGGCCCCAGGAAAGCCTCCTGTGTAGAAGATCTGAGTCTTGAAAGAACCAGGGAAGCCAAGAGACAAAGTGGGGAGGGTGAGCCTGCCAGGCATGAGGAATGACCAGGGAGATGAAGAGTCATATGCAAGGGACAGCAAGCAGGCTAGTGTCACTGGAGGGGGTTTTCAGGGGGCAGTAGAGGGGGACAACCGTCATTACTGGAGGCTTTTCTATACATTGAGTCTATATCTGCCTCCCTACCACATCCACCCTTTACTCCTTTTCCCTCTGGAGTCAAACAGAATAAATCAAATCCTTCCACATGACAGCCCTTTAAATATTATTGTTAGCTAAGGATATTTAAGCTTGCAAGAGAGTGGTCCCATCACTTTGGAAAAGAGTTCTCCTAACATCCTGGCCTATTCATGGAAGCCAGCATCATTGGCTTAGTTCCTGACCCTGCCTGCGCACTGGGTTCTACCAAGCACGAGCTGCGTCCTCATGTTATGATTTCCTTGGGGGGGTTGTTTCTCTGCCCAGCTCCCAACACGGAGATGGAGCCCCTGCTGACATGGAAGAAGGCCCAAGAGGCGGTGCCTTGGAACATCATCCTCTTGCTGGGTGGGGGCTTTGCAATGGCTAAAGGATGCGAGGTAATGTCCTGCTCCCAGTGTTTGAGAGACCCCTAAGCCGCCCCTCAAGCTGGGGCCTGACCTCAGGACAGACCGAGGAGAGGCAGCTCTCTTTTGTTCGGTGCTGGCTGCAGGAAGTTCTAGGGGCAGGGATAAGGGGGAAATCATTGATACTGGCACGGATTCCCCACTGCTTCCCTAAGGTGCATTGTTAAACCAGGAGTCCTCAGCTGATTTTCAGAAGCTTCTTGGTTAAATCCTCAGAACTGGGGAGGGGGGGTTCCGGCTTCTGAGGAGGGAAGGGGTGATTTAAAAAGAACCTGGACTTGGGTATCAGGAGTCTTTGAGTCTGGGAATTGGCGCTGCCACCTAAAGACCGTGTAACCTTGACTGAGTGATTTCCTCTTTCATGATCTGTTTCCTCATTGAAAAATGGGAGAGGAGATTGGACAGCATCACCTCCAAAGTTCCTTCCTGCCAGACATTCTGCATTCTATGTTCTAAGATCTCTTCCAGTTCTAATGTTCTATGTTTTAAGATCCTTTCTAGTTCTGACATTCTGTGATTAGAAGTCTGCAGTAACCAACCACGATCAAGAAAGGGTAGAATCGGAAGCCCTAGGTTCAAGTCATTTACTAGCTAGAAAGCTCTGGAAATCATTCAATTTTTCTAGGGTATAGTTTCTTCTTCTGGAAGATGGGGTTAATTATACCTGCCTGGCCTCTGTCCCAGAGTTGTTGTTAAGCCCAAATGACATAATGGATGTGAAAGGCTTTTGTAAACTGTAAAGCCCTCTATGTATGATTATAGATCACTTTTCTTTGACACTTTACAGTTTATACAGCACCTTCCTTACAATAGTTTTGCAAATTGTCTCTATTTTGTGGATGAAGAAATTGAGACTCAGAGGGAAAAAGTAACTTACCTATGGTCACCAAGGAATGAATAAGCATTTTTAGGTGCTTACTCTCTGCCATGGTATATGAACTCAAAAGTGAGACAGTCCCTGTCCTCAAGGAGCTTACATTGTAACAACATACATATAAGGGGATGGTGGTCAGCAAAGGCTGTTTTGTTTGGGGGAGTCACAGAGATGGTGTGTTGATTGGCAAGCTCCTTCTAGAAACAATAGGAGTGTGGTTTTGATTATTGTTCCCAGTGCAAGAAGATGATTGGGATGAAGTATATTACGTGTGTGTGTGTGTGTGTGTGTGTCTGTTGGGGTTGGCCAGACAGAGTGACCTTTCACCAATCAGGACATCATGGCCTCAGGCCAGAGTCCCAAAGTGCATTACCAAGGTGGAAGACAAAAGGAGGAGAGAGGCCTGGATGTGAATGTTATCGCTGTTATCCTCTGCCTCACTGAAAGGCCTGGCAGAACTATCATTCAGAGCCCCAGAACCTTTACTCTCAGGGACCCACACATGATTTCCAACCATAATCCTGTCTGTTTTCTATGTGTGCAAATTGAGACCTGCTGAGAGGTAGGGGTGGTGGTGACCTGGCTCATACCCAGGGGTGCATTGGGAAAGAAACCCTCCTGTTTTGGGTCCAGCTCCAGGGAAGATCTTTGGACTGATTCCCTCTCCTCCCTTCCCCCCGCCATCCCACAAGGCATCGAAAGCCTTGGTCATTAACATTCTACTTTGAAACTTCTACTATTTGGTTAATTGGATACCACATCGGTCCCTTCTGGGCCAGAGCCAGAGGCTGACAGAGGGGAAGCAGAGGCCACATTCCTCAACCACCTCTCCCTGGGATCTGGAGAGGGGGGTAGGGTGCTGGAGAGAGGGCTTGTTCTCTATCCATTCACTGACTATTTCTTCACTAACTCACCACCAGGCAGTGAGTGAGTCATGGGCAGAGCCCTGAACTCTGAGCCACAGGAGGTGATGGGCTCATGGGATTCTAGAGAAATCCGAAAGAGTCTACAGTCACAGAACCACTGAATCATAGTGGGAATAATTAGAGGGAACCTAGTCAAATCCTGGCATTTTACAGATAAGGATCCTGAGGACCAGAGAAATCAAGTGGTTTGTGAAAAGTCACGAAGGATTAAGCGAGATGCTATTTGTAAAGTACTTAGCACAGTGCCTGGCACATAGTAGGCATTTAATAAATGCTTGGTCTTCCTCCCCATTCCCCCACCCTCATCCCTGCCACCAAAGAAATGAATGGTTGACCTAGGATGTGAAAGTGCTGCATCTTCTGATTCTAAGCCTAAGTCTCTAACCCCCTTCATTTTACAGATGAGGAAATTGAAGCCCAGAGATAGAAATGGACATTCTCAGTCATACAGCTAGCTAGCAGTGAAGCCAAGACTAAAACCTAGATTTCCCATGCTCTTCCTACCAATCCATGTTGTCATTCAGTCCTCTTATCCTAGGCCCTGTGGGAAGCCACAGGGAGTCAATACATTAAAGGGCAAGTGGGTCTTAGCCTTGGTAACAGGTGGAAAAGTCAGAATTCAAAACCAGGTCTACCAGTTCCAAATCATTTTTCTTAGGTCCTGGCTATGGCAGTCACAATCTATGTGACCTTGGGCAGATAATTCTCAACTTTAAGCCTTCAGTTTCTTTATCTGTCAAATAAGGATAACTATATCTGCCAAAACAACTTGGGAGAAGGGTACCTATACATGAAAAATACAAAGCACTCTACAAATAATGGATGGGGATAGGGACTAGATGTCATTTCATTGATATAGGGAAGTTCAAGATGAGGAAACTTGCTCCACCAATGCAGGCGAGCACCTTCTTTGCTACTTAGAGACTTAGTGATTTGTTCAGAATGCCAGGAGATTGTGACTTTGCCAGGGTCACACAGTCATGATGTGTCAAAGATAGGATTTGAACCCAGGTCTTCCTAGTAACAAAGCCGGCTCTCTACATTATACAAATGGAAAGAATTATCGTGTCAATCCATAACCAAATCAATCCATATAAGAGGCGTTCAATTCTTTAGCACTTTGGTAAATTACTCCCTTTGCTAATGAGGAAACAGCCATATTGCTAGTGTAGAACCAATCAAGTGCTTCTCCAGACTCAGTTGGTAGTGGGAATGTTGGTGGAGGGGTAAGTGCTTAAGGTCCTCTCTTCACTTCCATGGCAGGAGTCAGGGCTGTCAGCATGGATAGGTGGGCAGCTGCATCCCTTGGAGAATGTGCCACCAGCCATTGCAGTCCTGCTTATCTCTGTGGTGATCGCCTTCTTCACTGAGTTTGCCAGCAACACAGCCACCATCATCATCTTCCTCCCGGTCCTTGCTGAACTGGTAAGTGCCCCAAGAGGAGGTCTAAGAAGCTGTCATCCTCTACCCCAGCGCATGCATCTGGTACAAGTCAATGGGGTAGGAGTTTCTCTCCTCAAGGAAGGCCGGCCTATTCTGCCTGAAAAGAGATTGGGAGAAGCAAAGGCCATCTTGCCCACAGGCAGATCCCAGGAGTCTGTTTATACTGGTCTGATTTTAAGAAGCACCAGGAAGTCCCCTCCAACCAAAAATGTTTTTCCTACTCTTGATGGGCGGCTAGATGGCATACTGGATAGATTGCCAGGGCTGAAGTCAGGAAGACTCATCTTCCTGAGTTCAAATCCAGCCTCAGACACTCACTAGCTGTGTGACCCTGGGCAAGTCACTTAATATAGGGAAGTTCAAGATGAGGAAACTCGCTCCACCAATGCAGGTGAGCACCTTCTTTGCTACTTAGAGACTTAGTGATTTGTTCAGAGTGCCGGGAGATTGTGACTTTGCCAGGGTCACACAGTCACGATGTGTCAATTTTACCTCAGTTTCCTCATCTGTAAAATGAGCTGGAGAAGGAGATGGCAAACCACTCCAGTATTTTTGCCAAGAAAACCCCAAATGGAGTTACAAAGAGAGTTGGACATGAGTGAAAAGTGACTGAACAACAATACTCTTAACGATCATCAGACCCATTCCTTTAGGTTGAGCGCTGGGTCCTCTTTAAAAAAAATTAGCAATATCTTTTGTTTTTACATCACTTTCATTTCCACATTTATCTCTCCTCTCACCTACACAGTAAGTTAGTCTTTGAAAAGAAAAATTTTAAAGGTGAAAAGAAATAGTTCTTCAAAACTAACCAGCAAATCAACAGTCTGACAGGATATACAGTTTTCCTGATACACAGTCCACCTCTACAAAGAAGAGTGTGAGGAGCATTTTCTACCCTTTTTAGGGTCAAGCTTGAACACCTTAATTATTTAATTAAATTATTAAACACCCTAAATAAAAATATTATTTAAAAATCATACTTGTATAATAAACTCAACATATTATATGACAGAATATGTTATATAACATTAAATATTATATAATTATTTAAGTATGTGGTTATATTATGTAAGTATATAACATATTATAATAATCTATTAGTATATATAATGATAAATATATAGTTATTAAATATAAATATTAATTTATTGAAATATTTAAAATTCTTTTTAAGCCTACAGCTACTAAGTACCAGAATTAGAGTTCAAATCCAGGCACTTTGACTCTAAATCCAGTATTTTCACCATACTATGGTCAAAAAGGAGGTAGAGAAGGGAGGAGGGTGATGGTTACTTGTGCTGTTAGTCATGGGCTGTTTTTTGTTTTGGTGTGTTTTTTTTCCTCTCATAACTTTGCTCCAGCTTGTTCTAATGTTAGGATCAAGGTAAAACACAACTCACTGGAGGCCAGAGAGACTAATATCAGAGAATAACAGGAGAGAGCAGAAATTGCATGGAACTTGGATTTGGTAGCCCTGAATTCTTAGAATTAGAATACCAGCCCCATTCACTGCTAACCAGCTTGGGCAAGGTGCTCCCCATCTCTAATTTTTATTTCTTCCTCTGTAAAATGAGGGTGTGAGTTTTCAAAAGGAGAAACACAAATTGTTCAGAATTACTCTCCAAAATGCTCAGTTTCACTAATAATCAATAGGATACAAATTATGGGTTGTGTACTATCTCATGCAGCAAATCAGTCCCTCAAAAGCAATGAAGCTCACAGTTGTTGGAGTGAAGGAGAAGAAAATACACTCATACTTTGCTGGTAGAATTGCAAACTTGAAGAATCTTTCAAGAGAGTAATCTGGCAGTACACAGTAAAAGTTACAAAAATAATCATTTCATTCTTGGGATTATAACCAGAATGTGTTATCAAAAACAACAAAAAAAGATCATCTATTCAAAGATAGTTTTAATAGCATTGTGCATAATTGCAAAAACAAAAAAGCAAATTGTAAACAATCTAAATGTCTAAAAATAGAGGAATAGTTAAAGAAATTACGGTGCATTGGTGAAATAGGACACTATAACACAATTAAGACCAACAAGTATGAGGAATGCAAAAAATTTAGAAAACCTTTATGAAATAATACAAACTACTAAAAAGCAGAACCAGCAAATGGAATTCACATTATCAACAACTAAATAAGAGGAAAGGGCACTAAGAATGAATGAACATTATGTGAAGAAATGGACTATAAAATATTATTTAGTGTAAAAAAAATCATAAAAAGGAGGGGGCAGATTAAAATGCCCATACTTTTTTGACCCAGAGATTCCACTGCTAGGCATATAGCCCAAGTAGGTTGAATGACAAAAAGGTCCCATAATCACTGGAATATTTATAGCAAAAAAGAACTGGAAACTAAGTAGAGACTCATCAAATGAGGAATGAATGAGCAAGTTGTGGGACTAATATAATGGAATATTAGTATGCTATAAGAAATGATGAACAGGATAATGGCAGGGCATGGGAATACTTAAATGAACTGATGCAAAATAAAGGGAGCAGAATCAGGAAAACAATATGCACAATCACTGCAACAATGTAAATGGAAGCAATAAGAAGAAAACCACAAAACTGAATGCTGGGAGATCATAATGAGCAGGCTTGGCCCCAGAGAAGAGATATGAGAAGACATTGCCCATTTTTTCTTTGAAGACATGGGGGACTATGGATGAGGAACACTACAGATAATGTCAAACTTTCTGGGGTGTGCTTGCTAATTTTGAGCTTTTAAAAAAATCTTTTTCATTTTTTGCCATAAGGGATGACTCTCTGGGAGAAGGAGGGGGAGGAATACACTGGAAATGTTGCTGATATAGAAACAGAAGACATTGGGCTGGGGTAGGCTGCAAATGGTGGATTGATTGAGTTCAGGAGTTCTGAGCTGCACTGGCTGAAGTCAAGTGAGGCATCCTCACTAAGTACGACACTAAATATGGTGAGCCCTTGGGAGCAGAGTTCTATCAGGCTGCCTAAGGAGGGGCGAGTCAGTTTTGGCTAGAAAGATGGATCTGGTCAAAGACTCCATGCCAGTCAGCTGTGGGTTCAAGCCTGTGAGTGACTGCTAGTACTTCCAGCCAGGGTGAATAGGGAGACCCAGTCTCCAAAAAAAAAAACCAAAACTTTTTTTTAAAAAGAATGAATTAACAACAACAAAAAAGGATCCTGATGGAGACTTGGAAATGGTTGAAAAGTGATAATACTGTATCTGTTGAAATGCAGTTACTAAACAAGTTTAATTGATTGTATTGGTGCTCAACGTTAAGATTTTTAGAAAACATTTAATTTTTTTAAAAAATAGAATAATCAGGTGAGGGGGTTGCACTGGATGATGTTAGAGGCCACTTCCAGCTCTGACCTTCTGTTGGATGTGTGTTTTTTCCCTCCCTCTCTCTGCCCTCATCAGGCCATCCGCCTCCAAGTCCATCCCCTGTACCTGATGATCCCAGGCACGGTCGGCTGCTCCTACGCTTTTATGCTCCCGGTGTCAACGCCCCCCAACTCCATTGCCTTTGCTTCTGGACATCTGCTGGTCAAAGACATGGTAACTTCCTAAGAGATGGTTGTGAGCTTCAGCAAGAAGGGAGGGGCGGGCTGCTTAGGGGAGGTTGTGAAGTCAATGCCACTTCAGTGACCTCCAGGGCTGGAGCCCAGAAAACTAAACTGAAACTTGGTGAGCCTATGGAAGTGAGTCAGAAAGAAACCAGGCCTGAGAGTCAGAATACCTGGGTTCAAATCCCAGCTCTACTGCTCAGTATTACCTGTAGGACCTTGGGCAAGCCCCTTCCTCTTTCTGGGACTCAGTTTTCCCATCTGTAAAATGAAGAGTTTACACTAGATCAGTGTTCTTAACCTGGGATCCATGGACTAAAGGGCAAGTGAATAGATTTCAAGGGATCTGTGAATTTGAACCTTTTAATATTTTGATCACTGCATTTCCGTGTAACTGGTTTTCTTTGTATCTTGTGTAATTAATTTTCTGCCTTTAAGAACGTTCTTCTGAGAAGGTTTCACCAATCCACTCAAGGAGTTCATGCCACAAGAAAGCTTGAGAACTAGACAGTCTTCAGATTGCTCTGATATTCTATGTCTTAAGGTCCCTCTTCCCTCTGACAGTCTATGACTCTAGGATATCCCTGCCTTCTTAAACAGAGCAAACAATATTATTTAAGACTGGATGCATTGGATTCTTTGGTGTGGTGTAATGGAAAGAGCACTGGGTATGAAATCAGGGAATCTGAGCTCAAATCCGATCGTTGCTACTAACTACCTGGATAAGAAGCCTAACCTCTCTTATTAAGCACCTACTAAGTGCCAGGCACAGTGGTAAGTGCTGGAGATACAATAAATAAAGACAGTCCCTGCTCTCAAGGAGCTTACAATCTAATTGGTATTTTTTCTATGGTATCTCTAATCATAATTCTTAAGTTCCAAAGAGCCTGATCATTAGATACTAGCAGTGTAGACCAGTGCAATGGAAAGAGCATGAGATCTGAAGTCAGAAGACTAACCTAACCTTTCCTGATCTGTAAAATGGAGTTGGAATAGATAATGCCCCCGAGGACTTTTCTTGTTCTAAATCTATCATATTCCTCTCTTCCTACCAAGTCACTTAACTTCTGTCTGCCTCAGTTTCTTCATCTATATACTGGGGATAAGCACCTACCTCTTAGAGTTGTAAGGATGAAGTGAGATAATATTTGCAAAGTGCTCTGCAAACCTTAGAACACCATCAAAATGCTAGCTATTATTATCATCGGTGGACATTTCGGGGTCATAGATTTGTTTCAATATTTCCCTAGGTCTAAGAAGGTTGAAGAAGGCAGATTATCTTTGAAGCCTTCATCATGTATAATATAAAGCAAAACATAAATGGTTTATTCTTTTTTTTGTTTAAAATTTTTTAATGGTAATTTTTATTTATTTTTTTGTTTTCAACATTTACTTCCACAAGATTTTGAGTTCCAAATTTTCACCCCATCTCGCCCCTCCCCCATCCTAAGATGGCATGCATTCTAAATATCCCTTCCCCAAGTCTGCCTTCCCTTCCATCTCTCCCCCTCTTCTCTTATCCCCTTCCCCTTCAATTTTCCTGTAGGGCAGGATGGATTTCTGTATCCCATGTCCTGTATTTCTTATTTCCCAGTTGCATGTGAAAACATTTTTTTTTAAAACACGTGTTTTTAAAACTTTGGGTTCCAAATTTTCTCCCTTCCTCCATCCCCACCCACCCTCATTGATAAGGCAAGCAACTCAATATAGGTTATATATGTACAGTTATACAAAACACTTCCATAGTAGACATGCTATGAAAAACTAACTCTATTTCCCTTAATCCTATCCCATTCATCCATTTATTCTATTCTTTTTTTTGACCCTGTCCCTCCTCAGAAGTATTTGCTTCTGATTACTCCCTTTCCCAATCTGCCCTCCTCTCTATCATTCCCCTACTCTCTTGTCCCCTTCCCCCACCCCATTTTCCTGTAGGGTAAGACAGATTTCCACACCCAATCAAGTGTGTATGTTATTCCCTCCTTAAGTCAAATCCTATGAGAATAAGATTCACTCATTCCCTCTCACCTTCCCCTGTTTCCCCTCCACTGTAAGAGCCTTTTCTTTTCTGTTTTTTTTTTTGTGGGATAATTTACCCCATTCTACCTCTCCCTTTCTCCTTCTCCTAGTATATTCCTCTCTCACCCCTTAATTTTATTCTCCAGATATGACCCCTTCATTTTTAACTCACCCTATGCCCTCTATCTATCTATCTATATCTATATATACGTACACATAAATTTTTCCCCTCCAACTACCCATTACTGACAAAGGTCTCATGAGCTATAAATATCATCTTTTCATACAGGAATGTAAACAGTTCAACCTTAATAAGTCTCTTATGATTTTCTCTTTCCTTTTTACCTCTTCATGTTCCACTCGAGTCTTGTATTTGAAAATCAAATTTTCTATTCAACTCTGGTCTTTTCATCAAGAATGCTTGAAAGTCCTCTATTTCACTGAATAACCATTTTTTCCCCTGCAGGATTATACTCAGTTTTGCTGGGTAGGTGATTCTTGGTTGTAATCCTATCTCCTTTGCTCTCCAGAATATTTTATTCCATGACCTGTGGTCCCTTAATGTAGAAGCAGCTAAATCTTGTGTTATTCTGATTGTGTTTCCACAATACTTGAATTGTTTCTTTCTGGTTGCTTGTAATATTTTCTCCCTGACCTGGGAGCTCTGGAATTTGGCTACAATATTCCTAGGAGTTTTCCTTTGGGGATCTCTTTCAGGAGGAGATTGGTGGATTCTTTCCATTTCTATTTTGCCCTCTGGTTTTAAAATATCAGGACAGTTTTCCTTGATAATATTTTGAAAGATGATGTCTAGGCTCTTTTTTTGATCATGGTTTTCAGATAGTCCAATAATTTTTAAATTCTCTCTCCTGGATCAATTTTCCAGGTCAGTTGTTTTTCCAATGAGATATTTCACATTGTTTTCTAATTTTTCATTCTTTTGGATTTGTTTTACAGTGTCTTGATTTCTCATAAAGTCACTAGCTTCCAATTGCTCTATTCTCATTTTTAAGGAAGTATTTTCTTCAGTAATCTTTTGGACTTCCTTTTCCATTTGTCCAATTTTGCTCTTTAGGGCATTCTTTTCCTCATTGTCTTTTTGGACCTCTTTTGCCATTTGGGTTAGGCTATTTTTTAAGGTGTTATTTTCTTCAGTATTGTTTTGGGTCTTCTTTAGCAAGCTGTTGACTTGTTTTTCATGATTTTCTTGCATCACTCTCAGTTTTTCCTCTACTTCTGTTACTTGCTTCTCAAAATCCCTTTTGAGCTCTTCCAAGGCCTGGGACTGATTCATATTTTTCTTGGAGGCTTTGGATATAGGAGCTTTGGCTTTGTTGTCTTCTTCTGGTTGTATGTTTTGATCTTCTTTGTCACCAAAGTGAGATAATATAGTCTGACTCTTTTTGCACTGCTTACTCATGATCCCGGCCAATTAATTGCATTTTAAACTCTTTGTTAAGGTAAAAGTCTGCTTCCAATGTGAAGAGTGTACTGTCCCAAGCATTGGGGATTTGTGCAGCTGTTTTCAGAGATACTTCTAGGGACCTGTAAATTTTCAGTTCTTCCAAGGTGGTATGATAAGGAGCGAGGTGTTTCCTCTCCACCCACAACAAACTCCACTGCACCAACGCTCCTCCTCGACCCAGGACCACCTCTCAGAACTGTGACCCAGATCCAAGCTCTGGTAAAGCAAGAGATTCCTGTCTCAGCACTGGCAAAGAGATTCCTGCAATCCCCCTCTGATCAGCCACTCAATTCCCCCTCAGTCTGTGGGCCGAAAGCTCAGGAAAAAGCTGCGGCCCCTGGGCTGCGCTTGAGACTTGTGGCTGAGACCTAGCTCCTCTCTCACTGCCGTCACAGACTTTTCCCACTGACCTTCTAAGTTGTCTTTGGCATTCAGGGATTGAGAAGTCCGGAAACCACTGCAGCTGCCCGAGATTCAGCCCTCTGAGGCCTGCTCCAGGGTCACTGCGGCCTGCTTGCCCACACCCAACTGTGCTCCTCTCCCCGCCCAGCATGATATACCTTTCCAATCAACCATCCAGGCTGTCTTTGGCTGGAAATTTGTTTCACTCTGTCTTTTTGTGAGTTCTGCTGCTTTAGAATTTGTTTAGAGTCATGTTTTTAGGTATTTGGAGGGCTTTGAGAGAGAGCTCAAGACAGTCACTGCTTTCCCTCTGCCATCTTGGCTCTGCCCTCATAAATGGTTTATTCTTAGCTGTGGCCCTATGCCCCTACCCTCTGTGCAAGAAAATGCTAAATGATTATACAGCAGGTCATCAAATGATGGACAGGAAAGAAAGTGTGCCTTAGTTTCCTTAGCTATAAGAAGGTGGGAGCCTGGACTGTAGGGTCTTTAAGGGCCCTTCCAGAGACATAGATGACGAAAGGGAGAAAAGAGAGAAAGGGAAGAAACCTCTGTTTGAACATCACATACCTCCTTCTGTTCTGTTTCCAGGCCTGACTGGCAGGAGAGCTTATTTAAGTGCTAATTAGTGTCAGGCCAGGGCCAGGAGCCTGGGGAACACTCATTAGTGCCTTTCCCACTCAGTAAACCTCCCTCCAGGGAGGTCTTGGTGCTGGATTGCTCCTCCCTGAATCTGGGTTCCATGTTCTGGGGGCGGCTTTTCCTCTGATAAGTACCTCCATTCTCTGTACTGACAGCCTCCATCTAGATCAACCCAGGAGCAGACAGGCCCCAGGCTTCCTGGATGACTTGTCTTTCAGATGTGGCAGCCCTCAGGATTTAGAGCTGGAAGGACCCTACACACTTAAAATTCAGAGTTTCTGAGGGACTTTTAGAACATAGAATGTTAAAGCTAAGAAGGGTTTTTAGGGGTCATGCCATTCAAACCCTTTAATTAGTTAATAGCAATTGAGGGAAATTGAGGTCAAAGAAGGGAATTGACTCCCTCAAAGTCACAAAGGTAGTAAGTAACCAAGCTAGGATTTGAACCCAGATCTTCTGACTCCAGATCTCATGCTCTTTCCATTACACTGGTCTACACTGCTAATATCTAATGATCAGGCTCTTTGGAACTTAAGAATTATGACTAGAGATACCATAGAAAGAATACCAATTAGATTGTAAGCAACTTGAGAGCAAGAACTGTCTTTATTTATTGTATCCCCAGCACTTACTACTGTGCCTGGCACTTAGTAGGTGCTTAACAATGTTTATTGGATTGGATTGGACTTTCAAAGGTAGGGAGGAGAGAAGGAACTTTGCTTTTTGAATAAGTTGTCTGGAGACTCTAAGTCTCTTAAAAGAAAAATCATTCCACTATTTGTCCCTACTGAAACCCTTTGTTTCTGTGTGGGTTCCAGAAGTATTATAAGACTTCTGCCCTCAAGAGGGTTAGAGTCTAATTGGGAAGACAAGTTGTACCCACAAGTGCTGGTTTGGGAGTTAGGAGACCTAAGTTCTGTTCCCAGCTCAGTTGCTAGTCTGCCATGTGACCCTGGAGGTCATTTCTCCTCTGTTTTCTCATCTATAGAATGAGAGGCAATCAGGTCTTCCTGTTTTTGTTTTTGTTTGTTTTTTGTTTTTTTTTTTTTTTATGTGAGGCCACTAGGGTTAAGTGACTTGCCCAAAGTCACACAGCTAGTGAGGGTTATGTGTCTGAGGCTGGATTCTCAAGGCCTCCTGACTCTAAGGCCAGTGCTCTATCCACTACATCACCTAGCTGCCCCATGATCAGGTCTTCTTAACTTGGGGGCTGTGGACCCACAACTGGTCAATGGATAGATTTTAGGGGGGGATCTGTGAATTTAGTTTAAAAAAGTTTTGATATCTGTATACTACTATAATTGGAGTTTTTGTAATCTTTTGTATTTTACTTTATGCACTTAAAAAACACTATTCCTAGAAGGGGTCCATAGGTTTTACCATAGAGCCAAAGGGGTCCATGTCACTAAAATGGAATCCTCTTGGTCTCTAAGAACTCTAACTCTGACATTTTATGTTCTGTGAAACAATCAGAGAGTGATTAAGTAAAAAATTATGTGGTGATGATGGTAAGGGCAATAGGAATTCAGAGGAGGACAGAGATCAGTATGGACAGCAAAGTTAGGAAAGAGGGATGGGATTTAAGCTGGGCCCGAAGGTTTTAAGCAGCTACCCAGGCTGAGACCTGCAGCACATCTACCTTCATTCCTTATAAGTGCATCTCTACCCTGACCGATATATAAAAGGTTTAACTGACAACTAACTAACACATAAAGGGGATACCGAGGCCCAGAAAGAGGAAGTAACTTTTTCAGATTCACAAAGATTCAGTAAATAGCTTAAGTAGGATTTGAACCCAGAGGGCAGCTAGGTGGAAAGTGGATAAAGGGCCGGTCCTGGAGTCAGGAAGACTCTTGAGTTCAAATTTGGCTTCAGACACTTATTAGCTAGGTTAACCTGGGCAAGTCACTTAACCCAGTTTATTTCAGTTTCCTCATCTGTAAAATGAGTTGGAGAAGGAAATGGCAAACTACTCCAGTATCTTTGCCAAGAAAATCCTACATAGAGTCATGAAGAGTTGGACACAACTGAAATGACTGAACAACCACAACTTCTGATCCCAAATCTTGTGTTTTTTCCTCTACACTGGGCTACGTTGCTAGAATCTGAAGCTCTGGGGTCAAGTTTATTCAACAGAATAAACTTTAAGTCAAAATGTTTACATTGGAAGCATATTTAATATGATTGCACATGTATAACCTATATCAGATTGCTTGCTGTCCTGGAGAGAAGGAAAGGAAGGGAGGGAGGGAGACAAATCTGGAACTCAAAATCTTAGAAAAATGAATGTGGAAACTATCTTTACATGTAATTGGAAAAAAAATACTATTAAGTGCAGGAAAAAATGTTTACATTGGAAGAAAAGGAGGAGACTAAGTAGGCTGAGAGGCTCAGCAGTCTTTCCTCACGAGTACAAAGGGGATTGTACCATAGGTACAGAAGTTCCGGTTCTAAATCATGAGATCTTTATTGTCTCCTGAGGCCCCTGAAACATCCTCTGCTTTGCCCAGAAATGTTTAACTCAGGCAAAAACTACAACTGGTCTTGTTTCCGTCATGCTTTACAGTTTACAAAGTGCCTTCCTGGAGATAGCTCATTGAGGTTTCCCATAGAACAGACAAGAAAACCAAGGTTTGTAGAAATGAAGGGACTTGTCCAAGGCCACACAAGTAACACACACTAGAATTGTCCCTCAAATTCAGATTTTCTGATTCCTGGTCCGATATTCCTTACCCTATGCTAGGCTGCCACTCCAAGGATTGAGAGACATTTGCTCACCAAACTCCTGCCTGACCTTCCACCCAATTTCCTCAGCCATGGGTTCATCACCTCTTGGGCCTGAGCAGCCAAGCACAGCATCCCGTTTCACAAGACATCTCTGGCCTTCCGCTATTTCGATCTTGGGCACCTCTGGTTCAACCAAGGCCAAGCTCACATCTACCCTGGGGGTGAATGGAGTGAATACCTTTGTCCTCCTCCCAAAGGGTATTCTGAATGTGCAGAGCAAAGTTTAACAGTAAATAAAGTCTGCCAGCTTGGAGATTCAGCCCCATGAGAAGCAGTATTGCATCATGGATAAAACCTAGACTGGGAATTGAGGAGCTTGGGTTCTAGATCCTGCCATTTACAGGCTGAGTGACTTTATCACTTCCTCTCTGAACCTCAGTTTTTCAATGCGGAAAATGAGAAATCTAAGTTAGATCATCTCTATGATCCCTTCCTGCAACTAAGTTTTATGTTCTGATGTTTCTTCCAGCCCTGCAAGTCTGTGTTCTAAGGCCCCTTCCAGCCCTGCAAGTCTGTGTTCTAAGGCCCCTTCCAGCCCTGCAAGTCTGTGTTCTAAGGCCTCTTCCTGCCTTGCTAGTCTATGTTCTAAGGCCTCATCCAGCCCTGCAAGTCTGTGTTCTAAGGTCCCTTCCAGCCCTGCAAG